AAAAAAGTTAAGAAAAGTAAAAATGCAGACCTGTATAGTATTGTGCATTTGAGACACTACAACTCACATTTCGAATTATCAAACTTTTTTATGAAATGTAGCTCACATTGTTTCACTGTAGAACTCCTGGAACTTCAATAAGGAAAATCTCGCAGCAGATGACCTTTAAAGCTGAGTCTGGAAATCATGATGTAAGAATTCGCTTAACCGTGTTGTGGTTAACTCTACCGAGTTCAGCTCTGTACTGCCTTCTCCGAATGGCAACATGAGATAATTATAAATCTTTGACTCTGTCAATTCAAGTGTCTTGGTTTGTTGTTTAATATGAAAACCCCAATTTCAAATGATCCTGCTCCAAATACAACACATGTTGGATACAGTTGTGACAATTGGAATTAAAAATATTTTCTCGTTTTTGTTTCAAATTAGTGAAAGTCAACATTAGCTGTTGTCTCAACAAATCAAAGAGATGAAGTGGAGTTACTGATTAAATAATTTTTTTTTTTTAAATGAAGAGAGAGCGTAGGCTTCCGCGGCCGGAGTCAGTATTTACTGGCTGTCCGGGTGACGCCGCGTCCATGGGGAAGGTGCCGACGTTTCGGTCGCCATTCTGCGACCTTCCTCGTACATTTCCTTCTTATTACATGAATGCACACATTAGAGTATCAATAAATAAGTAAACACCTGATCTAACTCATCATACACCTCCCTTTCCCTAACCTCACTTCAACAGAACCAAACTCTTACATGACAAATCATTGCATTTCACTTCACAATATATATGATAGCACGCATTACGCCCTGAGGAAGGTCGCAGAATGGCGTCCGAAACGTCGGCACCTTCGCCACGGACGCGGCGTCACTCGGACAGCCTAGTAAATAAAAAAAATGAAGTTTAATTTCGCAACAATATATTTACAGTCATTATGTGATATTTTACCCTTTAACATAGATAAGGGGGTTCAAAGATTACTTGGTTTCTTCTTCTCTGACTTTCCAGAAAAGATAGCGATTAAATTTTTTTCCAATATAGAATGAACTTGCTTTTCTCAGACCAATCTTTAAAAAATAAATAGTCTTTCTCGTATTTCTTACTTGGTTTGTTCGGTAACAATGTTTCTGAAGTAGCATTTGCTGCTATTTCTGGTTCCGAACCATATTAATTCATGTGAAAAATGTACGCCAAGTGTGTTTCAATTGTTCGCCTTATTGTAAACAGTGTCACCACTTATAGGATAAAAATGTGAATACTAAATGAAAGCATAGGACGAAATTTCATATTAAATCTAACAACTTGTTACAATGCGGATAAACCTTGTACGATATTCTTGTCGTAACATCTGATTACAATACTCAATTGGTTACAAACTCGGCTTACCGGTCTCATTTGGCAAGTTTCCAATCTCGTTTTATAATCAGATGATTTACTACACCTTTGTCGAAAATAACTATTAATAGATTTGCAGGAGACATATTTACCCAAAACGAATAAGTTGGGGAGAGCAGTGTTTATTTACTTATTACGCCGGAACTGAGCAACTGTGAAAATAGAAAACCGACAGAAGTAAATAAATCTAGAAAGGAGATCTTGGTTTGGCAAATATGTAGGTGCACATAAAGTTTTTTAAAGTAAATTCAGAAAGGATCTTAATTTTCCGCAAGAAAATTGAACACTGCCCACCGAGAACATGATGTAAGTAAAAGATGTTAAATAAACTAAACGGGCCTAAAAGAACCTTAAAATATAAACAAAATGACCCGAAAATATGTAATTTAATTACAAACGTGAACATGATCAAGTGTGAGCAAAATTTAAGAGAAAAACGCAATTACATCCCAAGCAATCATGACAAACTGATAATGACAAACGTCGGAGACGGAAATTGTTTATAGAACTTAAGCAGGACAGTGAAACGTGAAGTCAGAGTGTTACGAGACTTGATACATGACGGATGGGAGAGGGAAGCCAATTTAGTTTGCCAATGAAATGTGATATGTTGAGAAACTGAAGTACCAGTACGGACGGAAAATGGGTTTAAATGGAAAGTGGTAATCCTGGAGGTCGGCGACGTGTGGGCTGATTTGTTTGATGGAGCTAATGACGATCATCAACAAGGGAACACTTCAAAATTTCTATTTCAACTTGATGAAATGAGAACACCAATAATGTTTGCAGTGGGGCAAATGACAAATTCGAAGTTTAGATAGGAATAAGGGGAAAAAGAATGCGTGCGTGTATGAATGAGTTTTCTGTACACTTGTGTATAAATGGGATTATTATTACTTTCGAAAATTATATATATATATATATATATATATATATATATATATATATATATATATATATATAGTAATGGACTGTGTCAATGTTGTTTTGTTTTTCTTGAAATGCATAATTTATTAGCTAGAAGAACGTACGAACGAACGTACGATACGTAACCAACGGTAAGGTGAAAATGTTACGTAATTTAACAGACAATAAAATAATATCACATTTACATATCCTGTTCCGAAAATCGCTGATAGATATCCCGTTTCCCGTATGGCTTCGCGGATTTACACATTGAAATAAACTTATTGTCGCAGCAAAGTAGTTGCAAGACGTAGGGAAATTGTTTATTTATAATTTTAGTAAATTACAGGAAAATAGAAACTGTTCCAGTTGACACGCCTAGCAATGGGGCACAGTTGTGTATACAACCAGGGTAATAAATGTTGGACGTATTGGTAACTATCACAAAAAAGGTGAAAAGCATTAAATATGAAAGTTAAAGGACAATAAATATTGAGAGAGAGAGAGAGAGAGAGAGAGAGAGAGAGAGAGAGAGAGAGAGAGAGAGAGAGAGAGAAATGAGTTTCGAGGACGACAGATTATCCAGAACATAAGTACATGAGACCGAGATAGGAGATGAAGTGTGCAATAGTAATGGTAATAATAATAATAATAATAATAATAAAGTATATTTATAGTGATTAAACGGGTACAGATTCGTACTTAATCCGCTAACGTACCGTTCATCCGATTGCGATAAAACTTTGTGAACTTATTGCTTGAAATCGTGGAACGAGTATATGCATAGTACGATGGGAATGTGAATGTGCCTGCGCACATTGACGCGCGTTGACGATGATTTTATGTCGACTCTACCGCACCTAAACAGGGCGCTCTACGCAACCCAGTGCATCCTGAACTACGAGTATTGAGAGCGTCTTCATTGCGTATTTTGCCCCTGCGATTGTGAAATTTTGCCCCAGAGAGGCAGATACTGAGAGAGAGAGAGAGAGAGAGAGAGAGAGAGAGAGAGAGAGAGAGAGACAGACAGACAGACAGACAGACAGAAGCATACAGAGATGAACAGAGAGAAATAAACAGAGACAAAGAGAGGGGAGACAGACAAAGTCAGAGGCAGAGAGAGATGGAGTGAGACAAAGAGAGAAACGGAGAGAGAGACGGAGACTGAGAGGGTCAGGAACGGTGAGACGGAGAGAGAAATGGAGAGGGAAGACGAAAAAGAGAGATAGTGGGCAGGACAAGATCTGCCGGATACCGGTTGTAAAATATATTAAATAAAAAAACGGGATGTTCAACAACACTGCAGGGAATGTAGGACCTACACAGCCCATGGGTAGTAAAAGTAGATGATGAAAAATGAACATTGTGCGCAGGCGTCATCAAGAAGAAGCGATGTTTGAATGTTTTATTATCACAAAACATGGATTATAACACACAACAGGATTTATCCACTTTTTCGTTCCCAGTGTCCGATAATTACAGTTTTCTACCAAAAATTCGCTGTTATCTGGCGCACGATTACATAACTTTCTTTTCTTATGAAGTATCCACGAGAAAGTAAAAATAGAACTTAAAAAATACTATCAAAGGGTAATCTTCGGTTAAATTTGAAAATTTTTATTAAACAAATTTTAGCTCTTTTTATGAACATAATGTTTAAGCGTTTCTAAAAATGCGCAATTTTGAGCGCATTTCCAGAAAATATTTTCACAAATTTTCCGTTTTCAAGAAGCGTCATCATAAATTATTAAAAGCACATGTACTCACATCTGCATGAATGAGTGAAGAAAACATATAAGATAAACATTCACGATGTAATAAATATGTCAAAAAATACACTTATATAAGTTTTGAAAAATCAAAATAATGCATTAAAATGAAGTACAATACGTTTAAACCAAAATTGTTATATCTGTTTTTGAAAAATCGTTTTTAATATTTGCTCATACATTTTCATTAATTTATATGAACTTTGATCGAAATTTGTTTACCAGTTTATTTCAACACCCTCTAAAGAAAAAAGAAAAATAATATCAAAAGCACAGAATGTAGCACTTATCCTACGACATAATATAACATTTTTAAATAGATTTCATCCATTTTTTAAAGCTGTACAAGGTTCCATTGATTCTAATTTCATCTGAATCACATACGAAAACTTACTTATTAATACAGTGGTCTATATAAAAACCACTGATAAACGGAACGCGGAAGTGTGTAAATTATTTTCTGCAGCATTATCTAGCCGGTTTATGGTCTGAGCGATGCCTTCACTAATTGTAAGATTATTAGAACTTCCCAATTTCGATAATCATCGAATTTGCTTATCAGTCACTAACATTTGCGCATCATATTGGAATATCGAAGTTTCTTCGTGTCTGAAGAGGTTTTGGTTTCAATTATTTCGGACGTTTTGATTTCTTCCTTTTGACTTTACAATGTTAAGTTTCCCTGAAGTTTGTTACCACAGCATTTTATGATAATTTAAAGTCTAATTTATTATTATTGTAAATAAAAGTATACATGAATATTATATACAATATTTTGGAGAGAGGGGAGAATTAGGAATGATCCCTGCATACTAACAGAAGTACAATACAAAGTCCGAATCTCAAGAACAGAGAAAACTATATTTTTCTGGCTTCATCCTTTGCCATTTGGGGCAATTTATGGTTGCTATAATATAAGAGAGCTTTCTTACTATTCATCATCCAAGCAGTCGTAAACTTGACGAGAAATGCTTTAGAATTAGATGAACCTCACTAACTGAAATATTCCGAGTACAATTACCACCATCACCATCAACACCAACACCAACACCAACACCAACACCAATAAAAATAATACTAATAATAATAACAACAATAAAAACAATATTAACAATCATAATTGAAATCTAGATGATGAAGGGTCAGGATAGTTTTTCCCAGACAGACAATTACTCTTCCTAATTGAAGGTCTTGGGCGTAAAAGATAATAACCCACAAAATTGTTCTTCTTGTGGTCTTTAATAATATTTTTATTCCTGTAACCTCTTCTCAATGTAGTGTAATATTCAGATGATTTGCTTTATGGCTCATAGATGACACCCGATTGTAATTTTATTTGAATTATTTTTTTAAAATTAACCACTTAAACTTCTAAAACCAAAATGTTAACTTGCATTCATTTCGAGGGCGCTTCCATGTTCTACACCCGAACCTTCCAATGTGTTAACGTCATTTAATGTATCTGTAATCTAATATTTGCATATTGAATATAAACCTCTGGAATTAAATATGAAATATCTGCATTGACAGCTCCAAACCCTTGACAAAGAGTAGTTTATGGAAGAGAATACAATGAAATTTGACACAAAAGATATCCTTTAAATTTTTACTGCATTAATTTGAAATTCACATTCATCAACGAAATTATGCCGTAATGAAGCATCAGTGTTGTATAATAGTCTTACAAGATCTGCCAACTATGAGAACGTAATTACTTAATTAGAATCTAGGTAAAAAGCAAATTACCCATGGCAAACGTAGAATCCTAAATTAGAATCTCGCAGAGATAGTGTTATATAACACGAATTCCTCAAACAAGCACTCATTTACGCCAAGAGAATTGATTCTTCCAACGCATTCCAAACTGACATTAAACGAGTATTTCCAACATTCATCCATCGTTATAGCGATTCGTCTTTTGGCTGCTCAAAACGAGGAAGCGAGCGGCTGATCTGATTTGCGCCGCCAGAAAAAGGAATGCGGCGCGCGGAACGGCAAGGCGCGATACAAAAAACTCTTGAGTGCCGCCACGCACGCTGCCCAACCGGCACGAGGTTGGCAGCACCGCAGAGCGGAGCAGTGGACAAGGTCGGGAGGCGGAGGTGAACAGACCGCGGACGCAGCTGCGGCGGTGGCGGCTGCGAGGGCGGAAAACCCGGTAGTGCGAACTGCTGATGCAGCGCAGACGATCGCAGCAGCGGGCCACCTACGCGACAGCGGTGCTCGATGGACAGAATCCTGAGTCTAGACGAATGGTTTTTTCTATCTGTTTTCGAACCAACGGGCTATCGATTAAATTTGTTGAAAGAACTGGTTGCCCAGACCGGGATTCAAACCTGGGCCTCCCGGTTTATGTCCAGCTGCTCTAACCTCTAAGCTGCCGAGACAAGCAATCCTCTGCTGAGTGATACCAATAAGAATAAACCAAATTAAGCAATTATTCTAATATCTCACAATATTTTTTTGTAATTACATGAATACTTTTTAGTGTATTATTGTCGCTATTATGTCGAATTAAGAATAATTTTGTAATAGCCACTCCCAATATCCCGAGATAACGTGTTGTCACTGCAGCAACTTTGTCCACGACATCGTAGATTCGAGATCCGACGTAGCAGATTTTCGACTCTTGCTTTGTACATGCAAGAATTCTAGCGGCCAGCTGCCCTAATTGGTATTTTTGTGTATTTTTTCTATTAATATCAGACGAATGCCGCAGCAGTGTCCTAACAAACGGGTCATGAATTGCGTGCAATCATTTCTTCTCCTCCTTTTTTACTTTTCTCGAACCATACACATACAAGCATACGCTTACATACACTCCAGTACCACACATGGCAGGAGACCAGTCGGGAGCTTAAAGCTTGCCCCGACTGGGGCGTGCCCCGCCGGTGGATATACCTGGAGGTGCGAATCTCCAGGAACAAGCCGACAAGTGGGTCGGCGTCGGATGTAGTGTTCTAGTAGGAAAAGAACACCCTCACGCCTGCGCTTCACCATGCACTACATTTACGGGAACTGTGACAATAGCCCTTGGCTTTTGACCTGCTCTTCGCGCGTTTCCCCCACCGTGCGGTGTGTAGCGGAGAGCGGCGGCCGCGCACAGGACAGCCGTGACGGCCCGCAGCAGACGCCGACGCTCTGAGCGGGCGGGCGGGCAGCAAGATCTATCGCCAGCATGAGCCGCCAGCGCAGCAGGAGGTGAGAGCAGTAGCCGGAGCGATGCCGCGTGAACACGGCTCAGAGCCGCGGCCGCCGCGACGGCGCTGCTGAGGGCGGAGGAGCCGAGCGGCGCCGAAATAGCGCGCAAGAAGACAGACGGCGCTGCTAACGACGCCCTGACGCCGCTCTCCGAGGTATGCCCGCGGGGAACGAAGCTGATTTCGCTCCATCAGACGTAGATATTATGTTGGCAGTCGATAGTTCATCTCTGATCGGCGTAACGATGGAATCGTCCAATCGTTCGTTTAATCGACAAGACAAGTAATCTATGTTGTCCATTCGTGTTTTAAACGTGGAGACCCTGGTGATGCAAATAACATGCGAGGTTTCATCCTCAAGAAACCACTGTTTTCATTTTATAGTATTCACGTGCTTTGTGTTTATTACGGAATAAACATCATGAAATTACATGCAAAGGACAGTATTTCACAGATAGGGAAAAATTGCTTGCAAGGTTTTATCACCTGCAAATTTTTGCTTTTGTTTTATAGTCTTACTTTTTTTAGTAATATTTTTCAATAATACAGCGCACGAAGCTGTGATGCCGATACGCGACTCTCAGAAGTATGCTTTTTATAAATGAAGCTGATTTGCTGAATCAGCCAAGAAAATAAATTTGGTTGCCAATAATTCTCTTTGATTGATGCATCGATCGCGGCAGTCAATTGTTCATTTGATCGGTAATGCAACTTTTAGCAATGTAGACTGAAATATGCCTTGTGAAATATGAATAGTTAAACATCTTCCAAGTAATTCTAACGGAAGGAAATTGCTTGCGGAGTTCTTATGAATGATGCCCATTATTTTCATTTTATCACCTCCACTCACACGTGTTTCCGGTAATATCGTGCAAGAAGACAACTGACAGTGCTAATGTACTGATAATTTACTTTAAGGTATGATTTTCACAAGTGACACCAATTTTGTCAATCAGTCAAAAACTCTATATGATTAACGTTCTTCAGACAGACAGTCATTCGTCAGTTTGATTCTCAATTAATTAATTGATTATTTCAAATGAATTATTATTTAAATGCAGACTATCTTATGAAAAAAAGAGTCAACTGGATTTAAGTAAGTTTTCTTGAGTGTAAATAATTAAGTAAGTGAGCTTACAACATGGGAAGTTTTATCAACAACAAACTATTGTTTTTTCTCTTTGCATTCATGCGCATTATAATATTACAGAACAAACACAATGACAACAATTGTAGCTGAAAATTACAAAAAAATATTACGAAATGTGTCAAAGATAAAATCATGATACTGAATATAAAACAACAAACAAATTTCACGGAACAAAATTGAAATCATAAATATATGTGACAGCAGTTTTTAGAAACAAATTAAAAAATATATAAATTTCCAGCACGATGATGAATCTCATAATAAAAATCATTATCAACACTTGAAGAACATACAAGTTATGGTACTTAGCGAAGCCCCTCTAGGGGGCGTTTTCATGGTTAACAGTTTTATTTGTACCTTTTCATAATAATCCATGTCCAAGTCCCATTTTCATAATAAAAAATAAATGTTAAACGTATAATATTGTTCATCCATTTTTAGGTATAAAAAAATTACACTAAAAGTGTCCTTTAAAATACTTTTCTAATTTTTTTCTTTATTTACAAAACTAAGTTTCTTAACTATAATATATTATTTGTTAATATTGCTGAAATCATTCAATTTTACTCATTGTCTTCTTTTTAACATGTATAATTTCCTTTAGGCATCAAACAATTCTTTGTTTGTCTTCTTTCAGACGAATCTATGACAACATCCAACTCCCGAAATACTCCATAATTTAAACGACAATAAAAATAAAACGATAAAAATAAAACAATAAAACGATAATAAAAACACGTGTTTTGAGAATTATTACAGACTCTTCTAAAGAGGAAGACTAACTGATGCAATAAATGTCTCGTGTCGAGAGCCATTGAAAGAACTACTCTCACTTCTGTAGGTGCCGCTATTCACCTAAAACGTGTTTTCGTTGCTAAAAAGCAAAGAAACAAAAACACCTTTTTCAGAAAAATTTCTTAGAATTGTCTTCATGGATCTGCAAAAGATTATTAGATTCCCCCTAGAAGACCACGTTGAATGACACCTCATTTATCGTAATTGGAAGGCCGGAGTGATCTAATCGAGAGATATGAACGGACGAACGCATGTTCCTCAGTTACTATATAATAATTTCTCCGGAAGCATTTAGTTTCCATGTAAAATGTTGCAAAAAGTAAATCTTGAAATTAGTGTATACTTATCGCTATAAGCATAGTACGTATAAATTACATTTTTTATAGGTACTTATCGTATTTTCTTTCGGACCTTCACAGAGAGTAACAATTTTACAGTCACATGTAATTGTGAACCACGTTTTTAGGCTTATAGCATTGTTATTGTCAAGTATTATTGTTACAAATAATAAATTAGTTATATAATGAAAAATAATATATTTCAATAATTATAAACGTATCTCGGAAATTGTTCACATAATTTCTCCCTTCGCAATGAATAAATACTGAAGACATATTCCCTACATTTCAGAGCATTACTTTTACCTTTTTCATTCCTGAAATTACTTTAAATTTGCAATTGTTAGAAGTTACAAAATTAGGGTACATTTTACAAAAGTTCATCGTTTATTACAAGATTAAGTTTTTAAAAACTTGAAATTTTGAAGGTCGAGCTCTGACAAGTAGAGAAATGTGACTTAAAAACACAATCCATCCCAAATAGATTGCGTTCCCGCAAATTACTTCTTAAATGTTTACATAAATTCCGGCAATGTATGGAATTTTAATTCAAACTGTAATTGGAATTTTGAGGAAAAAAACTGAAAAATTATTAAACTTTTGTCAAAGAATGTTTTGAAAACATAACATAATTAATATGTAAATTTAAATTGTGCTAAAAATAAAATTAAAAAGAGGAAAATATAAAGGTAACTTCAAAGGTATATCTTTCTGATTATCCAACAGTAACTAACACGCTTAATAACTATTTCCCCCAAGAAGTTCCATTGAAGTAAAAAGAAACTAGTCATAAAATGTGGCGAGATTTTCCACATTTGTACGCTACACGAATCGTTTATCACTGTATGCCGCGTTTATTACGCAATTAACCAATAATTCTCGATCGATACATCCGTCCACTCCACGAAAAGTTTCTCCCGGCACGAACGGCATCGAGTGCACCCGAACAGGGTTCACGGTGTGGGTGAGGATTGCATCTCTGCCTGCGTCAATCGCTGTACGCGAGCGCGGCCATCCCCGCAGCGGGCGGCCGAGGGCACTCGGGTGCTGCCACGTACTCGCTCTGCTGAAAGCGCGAACGCGAGACGCCTGTACTCGGCGGACCACGTGTGGCTAGGCACGAGGGCTCGCAAATCCGAGAGGCTGCCGGGGCGCACACGGGATATCGCAGCGCGACAGTCACACCCCGCTCTGCGTTGTCGACGCAACATCGCCAACAAGACATCACGGTTTAAAACATTGACGTTCAAAATGAATACATCGATGAGAATAATACATTGTTCAATATTCATCGACGGTTTCGAACATTGAAACTGTTTTAGTAACCCCTGACATTTTAATTTGCTCAGAATGCAACCTAGTTATTGTGAGTGTCTGTTCATTAATTTATAGATAATATTTAATTGACAAAGCGAAGTCAAAAATAAAAATAATTTTATAAAAGTTTTATCAGCAGATTGAATAAAAACAAATATAATACTTTAATCATCTTTATATTTAATCATCGATATATTGAAATGGTGATAATGAAATAATGATGAATGAAATCAATGTTGCAATCAAAATTGGTTGTCATTTGCCTCGTTTGGAAAACTTTCCCTACTTTATTCCAAAGCGAGAGGGTTTGAATGTATTAAAATTTTCTCTTCTTTCTCAGATCCTTCGTCACTTTCGTCTTATGTTCAATTTACTCATTTGTGAAAATTATGCCACTATGTTATATACTATTTGTATTTAAAGTTACAACATCGAGAACAAAAAAAATAGAGGAAATTCAATAATGTTAAAACACATGGTCTTTAATAAATCCATGTAGTTTTACTTGCCCGTATATGAAGAGTACAAAAATGGCATCAAGCAAAGCGTCCATCTCCATCTCCAAATTGAAAACAAGCGATAATTAATGCATGATATTTCTCATGAGATTTATTGTGTTTACTATAAATAACTAAAATGACCTTAAAAATCATTTAGGTATCTCTTCTAAGTGAATAGTTACTTATTTTAATGTTTGATTGATGGTTTGTGATTCCCGGCACGTCAACTGCTAAGGTTACTGGTCCCATAAATGTAGTGCGTGCTTTGTTCCTCGGGAGGTAGCGATGTTTTTCCCGTGCTGGAAGGCCAGATCTGGCGTCGGCTTACCGCCGAATATCTATTATCTCCAATCAGGTATCTTCCCGCCAGCGGGGCACCGCCCCGGCCGGGAAAAGCTCTGAGGTTCAGAACTGTCTCCCAGCATGTGTGGTAGTGAATTGACTGTTAGTGAAAGTGTGTGTAAGAGGAGAGGGTAGGACCTCCCGGTCAGAGACACTGCAGTGACATTTTTCAGTTGATACCTTTAACAGAGTTATATGTTTGTAGATTTTCCAATACTGTGCAATTACATGGCATAATATCAGAATAATACAAGTATACAGCACAATAGCATTTTAAGTCAATAATTGAGTTATTGCAAGTTTAAAATATTTGAGAAGAAAATGTTTTGGAAACTAATGGAATCAGATATGTAATAATGTCTCTAGTATTTTATATTGTACTTCACAATTTTTCATTTCTCATCGTTTTCTTTGATTTTGGTCCCATTTTCATGTACGTTTCAATAATAATAACCACAAGACTAGGAGCTTTTGAGCTGAAACTTAGGTCAAGAGCCAAATTTAGTTTTGTAGTTTCGAAGATTAATATATTTTAGTTTTGGGAGTTACTTTACATGAAGCCACTAACAATTTATAGAAAATGGCAGAAACATTTTTCTTGAAACTTTTTGTTCCAATAAAAGAAAGTGCAGTTATAAGTGGGCTATAATTCCAATTTTTATTAAAACCTTTCACATTTTGAAAATTGCAAAGTTTTCAAACACTAAAGGTTTTTGTTTAGAAACAAATTTGAGCTATCTACTCAATCAAGTTTTGTAATTTTTTCTTTAAATTGTTTAAGTAAAGAGGTTTTGGCATTCCCACTACTATAAACATATTTTCATTAAATAAAAAATATGATTTTATCATTTTTAGCACTAACGTGTGTGTTTTGATTATTTTATTTCTCTTTCGCCACTTATTTTATGTACTCTTAAAAAAGCAGAGAAAGCACACGACAATCACATGAAAACATAACATATTATTTTAATGTGTTTAAAACAGCAAGCAAATATTTCAGGGTACTCCAAAATATTTTTAAATATTTTTTCTCGAACATAATTGTCACATTTTTTAAAGACATTTGTAGAACAATGACTTGTTTTTATTAAACATTTAAAGAAAATTATCTTATCTGAAAATTATAAAATATCTTATTCATTTGCATCTACCCATACACAAACAATAAAACGAAGTTACAGAGCTTATGGATTATAAATTTAAAGACAATTAAAATTATTACGTTTTTGAGTTAATCTGAAAAATTATCCTTATTTTTTGCGAAAAAACGTGAAATTGATCTACTAAAGCAATTATGTTTTTGGCCTCTCTTTTTTATTTGTTTCTAGTAGATTAACTAATACATTAGCTAAATATTATCTTTAATAATTGGATATTTTATATTTGTTACTTTGTATAAGTCCTTTAATGAATAATTTTAAAATAATATTTTTTCTGTATCTTCAAACACACAAACAGCGTATTCAGATAATTCATGCGCCCATGTTAAAGCTTTGCATTTGACAACTATATAGTACTAAATCAGAAAATACCACACGAGTCAGGGGACCCATTAGCGGCTCAAATCCCACAAATGTTGAAATTAACTCCAGATAGAGAAATTGCTTCTAGATAATCGGCCATAACTCCAGAGAAGCTACTGATGCATAATAATTGTGCTCTCGAGCGGTGCAAGCAGCTGCCTATTCCTCTAAAATTATTCATCTAAAACTACCAACATTATATACCTCGCTTCTAAGAGTTGGGTAATAATTGTGTCAACAGAGCACTGAAAATGCAAAAAAAATTATATTGGATCAATAAATAAAAATTTCAATAATATTTAAGGATCGCGACTCCATATACTACTTCAAAATCTTTCTTAATATAGTGTATCAGTTCAATTTGTTTCAACAAAAGTTTGTTCCTACAGGTTAAAAAGTTAAAACAAATAATGATAAATTATTGCGTATATCTTTCAATTGCTTAAAAGTTTTGATGATAGAATATTTACGCCAATGTGTGTGCAAAAAAATAAGCATTTAATCGTTTGAAATGGAAAACTCATGTTTATTACATATACCATATACATATACCAATAAAAGGGCCCATCGAGTTTTGCAGTAAAACAATTAGTTTCTTAATGTGTTTTGTGTTCCATTTATTTTCCTTTAAATCGAATTTGCTTGTAAACGAAGATTGTTTTTCTTACCATTCTATATTGTCAACATTGATATATTCATTACAAAATATTACTCCCTATACGATAGTATGCGGAGGGAAAATATTGGAATCACTTCCACAAAAGCCTATAATCTCAAATATCGTCGAAAAATTACTGTTTTTTTTCTTTCAATTATAACTTTGCATACACGTCAGGATTAAGATCTATTAGTGCTCTTCCGAAAGTGGTTCAGATTACATCCGGTAGAGCGTGGATTTTCTACGAGAAAATCTATTTGTGTGTATTAAATTCCTTGTTCTGGACTAGCTTTTCGGTCTGGCCTCATCCTGTTAACAGATGCAATCTATCGTCGCCGTAAGTGCATTTTTTTGACATTTTCCCTATTTTTAGATTTCCTAACAGTAGAACCGAAATATTACTTTGAGAATATTAAAAAGCAATTTTTAAGAAAATGATGTTGATGCGTTGGTGCCAATGCATAATTTATACCACGAATGCCCACAGAAAATTTTTGAGTTTTCGAAATTCTTCATTTAAAGTCGTTTAAAGCACTTTAACTCGCAAATGCAACTGTATTTACAAATCGCGGAAAGCGGGCATATTAATGACGTCAGAGATCTTTCATATAAAATAACATTTGTGTAATTTTTCAAAAAACTAAAGAAAAAACCAAAATGAACTTATCATATTAAGAAGGACAATTAGCACTATCTGTTGGGAAAGTTTGAAGAAAATATTTGAGAAAATGGCGTTTGAGCGTTTTTGAATATGCGGGAGTTGGAGCAAGCATAATGCGGTTGAGTTTTCGACAAACGTTATGTGACATTATTTAAACCACATGAACATATAAATATATTAATGTGAACAAATCGCCGCTAAGGTAAATTAATGACGTGATTTGGTAAAATGACGTGACTCGGTCATCCACTTCCAATGAAGAAAACAAATATAGAACTATTTATTATCTCACAAATCAAACCAAAACAGTATCCCTTCGCCCACGCATTTTTTTATTAAGAAACCAACACAATCCAGTATGCAAGGAGCGGCCGGTCCCGTGCACGCGGACAGCGTTCAACCCCATGAGCGTGCACCGCGCCGGTAGCCCGCCCTCCGACGCAGAGAACCCACACGCGGAAGGCCGACGGCGGCGGCGGCGGGCGCTACACGTAGACTCCGCCGCCGATGACGAGGGAGGCGGGCGCGGGGTCGGGCGCGAGCTGGCGGCGCGCGCGCGAGCGGGCGCAACACGCGGCACCGCACCACGTGAGCAGCGCGGCCCCGCGCGGGAGGCGCCTCTGGCGGCGGCAGGCAGCGCGCGCGCAGCGCGCGACAGCGTCAGCCGCGGTGTGCGGCCCGCCGCCGCCGCCATCGCCTCCACCCGACGCGCGCCGCCACTTCGCCCACACGCCGCCCCGCCACGTGCGCACAGCGCACAGCCCGTCGCTCGAGAGGGTGTCTCGAATTAAACCGCGTTGTCAGAATTACTGGTGTGCGGAGAGCGTGATTTATTCTGTCCTCAACCGCCTTTACGTTTTCGCAGTTAATCGATGCGTAGTTCCAGTACATTAATAAAAATAGTTTAGTTCATATAATAAAATTTCTCGTCCGAAGAAAATTTTGCAGTCTTACTGACAGCTGGCGGTGGGGGGGTGGGGTCGAGAGATGTTGCCACGTACTCGAGCGGCAGTCACGTGGTCATTCTTGCAACTGATCACAAAAGTAGCAAGAAAGAAATCGCAATAAGAGCTCACAACGGTAAAAGGCACAGAACCACACACACGATGCATCACCAAAGAAGTAATGCCGCTCTTCAATTTTCAGTTACTTCGCACATTATATTTCATTTATTTTCTTAAGTATCGACAATTCTGCAGTAGCGTCATTAGAATATCGAGCGGTAGATTGGATTACAGAAACCTCTCTTCCGGGTCAGTCCATTGCTGTCAAGTAGACAGAAATATTATTCGGAAAGTAATTTATTCATTTGCTTTCAGTTCTCTAGTTGAATTGATAAGTCCGTGACAGGGCACGGTGGCGCAGCGTAGACATCCTTGACATCACACAATCATTTCTTCTTCAAATGATTGTGTTATCTAATATGTTATGGCCACGAAAGGGATAAAACTGCACGCTGAAGTTATGTTTGCTATGAGATATGTTTGATATGATAAAAGTTAATAAAATAATTTTCACATTCTCATAATGGAAGTGATGTCATATTTATGATTGGCAGAAACTATCGCGAAAAGTTTCACCATCTTTTTTTAAGTTCCCTGCCTGAGTATGTATGAGTTGTAGTAACTTGAATCATAATCAAAAGTCAAAATTTCTCGTTTGTGATAAAATAATGTGTGTATATTTATATTGCATGGGTCAGTTAGTTCGAACAATTCAAGTTCATTTCACTCTGTTTGGCACGAATGACTACCATTTTTGGTCGAAACTTTTGTATGCGGTACAACGAATCCTGCGCTTTACAGTGTTCAAAACATCCGGTCGTAAAAGACGGTATTCGCTAAAACACGACACCGTCTGGTTGTACCCTTGATGGGGAAATGATCTCTAGAGGCTTGCGAGACACTCATTTTCGTTGGTTAATTTCTGTTGTAGGAGAATGTGGTATCCGAACGCCAAAACAAATTTATTTTTTGACCATTCCATATCCGCATCTTATCGGGAGGTTCGGAAGTCGCATCGGACTTTCAACGTGTGTCTAATGGACTTTAGATGTCGGTGACTAGGAGTCAAGCGAATGTCTCAATCATTCCTTAAAAATATGAAACAATACGATATATTACCGACAAAATAATCGGCAAGAATATTTTACTCTAATCATGTTTTCATTTCTCACTTTAGACTAAAACGAAAAGTGAAAACGGATGTAAATAAAAGCAAATTACAACAATGTTTATACCGGAACCAATAATTTTCTAACAACTAGATTTTGTGCACTTTTGGATTTTAATGTAATTTGTCTTTATTCCATAAGTTTTAAACTATCCACTCTCCGTTCGAAAATTTATTTTCATATTATACAGCAATGTATAAATAATATAACAACAATTTGGACAAACTCAATAAAACTCTTTAAGTCTAAAATAAAGTACGCGGGTTTAAATAAAAACTCCCTCTTCCCGTCCACTAAAGTTGGTGATTGATCTCAAATTAACAAGCCATTCATTAGAGGCGCAACTCTGCACTTACGATAAAGCGAAATGTAGAGGGCAACTAAATGGAAAAGCGTAACGTTTTCTACCTTCCATCCGGCCTTGGTCTTCCCCGAGGGCACCAGCATCTCGTCGTCGCCGGCGTCGCCGCCGCAGTCGTCCCCGTCGCCGTCCTCCCCGAAGCGGTCGACATCGCGCGGCCGCGGGTACCACATCGTCACCACGACGCGTTGCACCACGGGCGTGGCCGCCACCAGCAGCGCCACCGCCACCACGCCCAGCGCGCCCAGCGCCACGTGCAGCCGCGACCGCGCCGCGCGCACCTGCGCCCACCAAGCCACGGCTCACCCGCCACGCCTCGACTTCTTCCACGTCGCGCCACTTACGCGTCACTTACCCTCCACGACTTACCTGCCACCCGCTTACATCTACGATTAAACGCCATCCCACTTATGCGCCACTTTCACGCCATCCCACTTATGCGGCACAAATACATAACACGTCACTTACGCGTTCCTTACATGCCACATCACTTACAAGTCACACAACACGAGATACGCGTCACGCCACTTACCGTCAATTACACCCACGATTTAAACGCCACCCCATTTATGTACTGCTTACACCCACGACGTACACGCCACAACGAACCCGTCATGCCTCTTGCGCTTCCGTGACACTCCACCACTTGTATGCCACACCAATTACGTGTTACTTACACTCTTCGACGTAAATGCCATGCCACTTACACCCACCCCTATTACATTTAAACGCCATCCCACTTATGCGCCACTTACATGTCACCCCAATTACACGCCACTTACAGACTACGACGTACACCCCACTTACGCGTGCCTTACACACCTCGCCACTTACACCCACGACCTACACGTCACCCCATTACGCGCTACTTACAAGCCACGACTTTACACGCCACACCACTTACGCGCCACTTGAACCACCAGCGCTAAAACGTACGCGTTATACCACGCCAGGCAAGGCTTGGGGCAGAGACAACTAGTAGTATACTAGACGAATTTTTTTATCAAAGTCAGTCGCGAAAATAAAACCACAGAAAAAACCCGATGACGCTGTGCGCAGACGTGTTGCACACAATCTTTAAATCTTCGATTGCGTCATGTCACCCTCCAAGTGTGAAGTGCGTGCTGTCATTCAATTGTTTCGTGCTGATGGATGCAATTCAGCCGAAATTCTCTGACGAAATAATATGTGTATTGCTTAGATTTAAGAATTTAGATTTAATTTTTTTCTACTAATTTCGTAAGTACAAAATCATCCCATTGGGATTTCCTGCGTTATGCATGATACGGCCTGTTATCATGGATCCATGGTACAAATTTATTGTAATAAAAAAATAAAACATGTACATAGATACATGTTATTTATTTTTCTAAAATATGTAATAAAATAGGAACCTTGTAAAATGAAATGCATAATGTTGTTTAAAATTGTCTAACATAAAATGACCCCGATAAAGTCTTAAAATAAATTTAGAGCCCGCTAAAAGAATGTTCTGCCTTTTCAGACGTAATTATACACTAGTCTTCACCATACAACATTAGTTGTATCCATAATATGAAATCAGGAAGTAGTGTAAGCAAAGTACTTTACGAAAAACCGGTGCAGACGTGGACAGTGGTACCGCCCAGCAAGCGATAGATCTCGGAGAGACGGGAGGGTTGAAGGGAATATGCACCGCCGCCCCCACCCCCACCATTTCTAACAAAGCGGTAAGACAATGATTTTTTTAAAATATTTGCCGAGAGTCTTTGTTTGTGAAATATGAGGTAGCACTTGGTTGGGATTACTTCTTTGAAACATCTGCTATCTAATACACGGTTTCTAAGAAGCAGGAGAGAAATGGTTATTTAGATAACATACGGCGAAGGGCCGGTGGTCTTAGAATTACAATATTACATTGGTTTGTAAGAAAGACGATCGTAGTAGCGTATTAGCAAACTCCAATATAAAATATATCATTTTACCGGAGAAATATATAAAAATAAAACGAAATATGTTATCATAGAAATATATTTGAGGCGTAGTTCAGTCGTACGTTTTTATTTTTGTAGAAAGCCTTTTCGGTCGCATTGCGACCATCTTCAGTGTTTCAAAAATAATTTCCAAATTACAAATAAAATATAATCGATTACAGAATATTATTAAAAATAAAAAAATGGAATTAAAAAACTAGAAAACTTGGAAAATACAATGTGAAAATGGGAGAATACTTTTGAATCAAGATTACATGAAATAACGAATGTATTTTTCCAAGTAAATAAGTAAAATAAATAAGTAAATAAATAAAATGAAGATGAAGAAACTGACATATAGATTGTAAGGCGGCTGGGGACCTCCGTTCAGACAATAGAGCGACTATCAAGGGCATTGTACGCTACTTAAAAGAAGACTCTCAATAGAGTGAGCCTTAACAGAATCATCCCCTCTATTCCCCTTCCACCACGACTATACGGTCTTTCAAAACTTCACAAACCTTCTACCCCAATAAGACCTGTCGTTTCATATACCAATACTGTTACACAGACTCGCACGGAAACTCAACCAACTTTTCTCTACACATTAAGTTCTCACTCTCTCACACTATCGCCAATAGTATCGACCTAGTAGACAACATCAAGGTCGTAGTTGGGCAAACGTATTTCCTTTGGCGTGGCGTTTGAATAATTCACTCGTTAATTTGTGGACCTTTTCAATCACATTGGATTAGAAATCTGAAAAACTGTCCATGAGAGGTTACTTGCAAGTGTTGCAAGGCAAAGGGAATTATTACAACATCATCAATTAGAATGATCAATTAAATATATTACAAATTTTCTTAAAAAATACTTATAAACGATAATTTGACAGCAAATTAAGTAAATGTTATCATTAAAACATATCAAGATTGCCTTTGACTTAATTGATTCTAGCCAGATAAAAATGGGAGGAGTGTAATATTGGTACTGAAAAGGAAGAGATTCGGAAATGCAGAAGCTCCATTTATTAAATTCGATCTGGTTGCTCATCAAACTCAAATCTGATTTTCATGCTTCGGCTGAAAAGGCGCTTCTGTCGTTGGTCTGAGTTGGCCTTTCGCCTCAGAAGGAGAGTCTTCTCTCAGCCTCCAACTCCCCATTGAGCCCGCCTAACGGCCAAAGGTGCTCGCACGAAACTTCATATTTTGGTTCATGACTCTTGTCCTAATAGACAAAATCTCTTACATATTTTCTATAAGTTTTCTATTAGACACCAACTGCTAGGAAAGTCTCATAAAAAATCCTAGTGTTAAACACTGTGAGTGTTAGTGCTTGTCCCAGCTGCGGTGGTACTTCCCTGATGGGAGATACCTGGATAGTAAAAGCCCGAAAGCCGACGTGTAGGTTGGTTACGGATCCAACTGGAAAAATTCCGTGATAAAAAGTATGCACTACGCTCACGGGACTAATGGCCTTACCAGGTGAAGCGCCCGGAGACACTTATCAATGAATCCCCTGGATAACCGCGGCCGCTACGGCTGTAGGCTACCTCGGCTCGAAGAGTCGCTGGTTTAAATCCCGACCCAGGCATTGGTATTCATGTTGTCCTTGTGGTCCCCATACAGTTAACCCAATGTTAAAAATGGCAATGGTCGTGACTTAACCAAACAGTTAAAAAGCGACATTAAATATATAAATTAAAAACGAATTAATGAATTCTTGCGCTTACCTCGGCCGTCTGCGTCTTGCCGGTGACGCCCGCGGCGCTGCCATCGCCCTCGCGGCCGCCAGCGCCCGCGTCCCCGGCGACTGGGCTCCCGGCCGCCTCGCCGCTGGCGACGCGCAGCAGCACGCCGCCGCCGACGAAGGCCAACTGCCCTTCGGCCTCCGTCTTCAACGCCGGGTCGCCCTCTTCCTTCGACAGTTCCTCTCCCATCAGGGCGGGTACCGGTGTGCCTCGGCCTTCGCTGAACACTTCGGGTGCTTTCGGAGCCGCGTCTGCTTTCAGCAGATCTTGCTGCGCCGTCTCCCAGTCTTCGTCGGGAATCTCTTGCGGCAGCGACTCGGCGATGCTCTTGTTTACGTACTCTTCCGGCGGTACCGTTTCCCCTTCTTTCGAAATGTCCATCAGCGCTGAATTAGTATCTGCATCCTTTGAAGTATCATTTACCCACTCCGTTTCATTTGAAGAAACGGAGGAGTAAGTTTCTTCTTTGTTAGTATCGTCACTTGCATCGAGGTTAACATTGCCACGATGGTCTATTTGTTTGTAAGGATCACTACGTACATATATGAGTTTTGGAGGATAAACGGGTACCTCGATTATACTCGGTTTCCTACGAAAACGTTCCAAGGCATTTATAAACGACAAGCTATCTTTATTTCCCAACGGTACATCACGATCATCAAAGACCCCAATTTGGAACAGATCTGTTTCCGCATCCATTCCCAAATCCCTCTTCTTCTTCAAGTTGCTCTCGGCATCCATCGGTATGATATCGGGCGTGTCTTCCACGAACATCTTTTGGAATGCGTTCGAAATCCTGTTAACCATTTCTTGCACGGGCATTAGTTGCGCTTGCAATCTCTCTCGCTGGAGGGCGTTCGCGACCGCCGTGGCTTGCCGGTCGCCGGCGCGCACCCCGAAGAGCGCGGCGCCCTCGGCGTCGTCGCCGCCCCTCTGCGCATCTGACGCGGGGCGCTCGTCGCCGGACGCGAGGCGGTCGCCGGCCGAGCGGCGCTGGCCCTCGGGGGCGTCCGGCCGCGCAGCGCGGTCGGTGTCGTTTGGCTCTCGCGACACGGAGCCTGCGCCGGATACGACAATCGTCAGCGGTCGTGCAGTACATTTTACTTGCGCAACGTTTCTTGAACGAAGGATTGAAGAAAAGCGGGTAGAGTGGGGTATTAGTTACGAAATCGACCACTAGATTTTATGAAGCAATGCCAATGTTACGAGAATCAGTCATGCCTTCGTAACATTATCAATAATTTGCGTTCTAACTTTCTCATGAGCTCGAGGCATCTCCTGGGATAGATCTCAATCTCCTCTTGTCATTTCTGTACATTTTGTGAGCAAATAACGGACATGAGTTCTCGTCTTCAAAACAATTGTTTATATTTCGCGCCACTGAGGATGTGTTTGGAATGTTATCAGTGCTCGCTGCGAGCTTTCTTAGCAATTGTCATTTTTAAATTGAAATTTTTGTTTTTGATACATTTTAAAATATTTGTAGTAGCCCCTACTTATTTATCTTGATACTTTTCATAATAGTAGGATTGGTTACTAATATTAATTTGTTCTTGATTTTGTAGTTTTTTTCTGGCAATATAAAAGTATTGAAACCATTGACAGTACCTTAAGATGGAAAACGCTCAGATTCAAGAAACACTGAACTAATGTATGTAAAATCGAAAACTATTAAGTGTTTAAAAATCTTCCAACTATTCATAATACATCAGTAATTTTCAGTAACTTATTTTTTACTACAAAGCAATAATTTTACTTATGTGTTAACACATATAATTTGTTGTGAATTGATCACTTGATTGATCACAAAATGAAGAAAGAGTGGATAAAAAGCAATTATGTTTGAAATCCGTAGTGCAATTCATTCCAAATATCCGTCCCTTTGAATATAGCGGGTAGGGATGAAACCCTTGGGTTCAGACGTTGGCGGTACTGGCAGTCAGCCATCAACGACGCTGTATTGGAGATTTAGTGCGACCTCTTAAGCTGTCCCAAAAGTATTTGCTTCAACAAACAAACTACAGTTATTTTGATAATAACAAACATGTTCGAAATAACAAATCTCCTACCCCTTCTAAACTAAAAGAGTAAAAACTCAAGAAAAAATAGGCAGATTTTATCGCGTATTTCTGCTGTTAAAAAATAAGGGTGAATTAATACTCAATTTGTGAAATGGTGTAAGAGGTGATGTTTTAAGGAGACGTTAGCAGTTTAGTATACTAATGAACTGTAAAAGTTTAAAGAGACTCTTGTCTTATATGTAACTTACTAGACACGGAAACTCCTGATATGGCAGCTAAAGCCGAAGTGACGACCATCACTGCCACCACCAGCACAAACAAAAGGAGTTCCCTCATGTTGCAGCTGCGGCATGAGCCGGGCCAGGGAATGATTCTTCTTTACGATGGCGTCGCGGGGCAACGAGTAAATATCCACGGCCCCTTAGAGACGTTCTTGCTTTCTACTCTTGTGTGAAATTGTGTCCTTCTAAATGAAATTGTGTTCATATTTTGCTTCAAAAATTAACTCAAAAGTTGGATACAGGGCTTCTTTAATCTCAGTTAATAATGACGAAGTTGATGGAGAACAATTAGTGAATAAAAAGTACAAGAAATGACCGACAACTGAAAATTGCATTTCACTCGGCGTTTGATATTATTTACTAAGTGCATTCTCCAACACGCTACACAAATGAAAGTTACTTTGTTGGTTACCAAATGTTGTGTGTTTGTTACTCATGGTTACTAAAATGCAGTGTGGCCCATTTGTCTGCTAACTCAAACTCATAAGTACTAGATATTCCGGTTTTCGTTCGAATTTAACCTTCTGTTCAAATGTAAACATTCAGATATATATTTTTTCTAATATTTTTTAAATTTATTACTATTTTCAATGTGATACATGGTTCAGTTCACTGTACAACTTTTTCAATGTATTTGTGCTTACTATCTATTTTTAAAAAAATCTATTATTTCTTTACACTTATTTCTTAGGGAGAGGAAGCCCACTGAGCACCTCTCAAAGAATCATCCAAATTTGCAAATTATATAAAAACATGTTTGGGAAATCTATTTTTTATTCTGGAGGCAATAATGGATGCTTTGACTAGGTTGTATTGGGATACTTGTGTAATTTGCGACATATTATTGTAAAAATTGTGGGATAACTTGGTGATGTGATGTATGACAGGTTTTATTTGAATTTCTTTATAGAGTTGTTTGTTTGTGATGAACCAGGGTGCATTGGTTATTGTTCGCAGGAATTTATTTTGTATTACCTGTATTTTATGGATATTGGGTTTTGCTGCTTTAATCCAGACAGGACAGGCACAGAGCATTAAGGAACTTATTAAGGGGGTACATTAAGTCATTACATATATGAGTTTAGCATTTTCTGGAGTTATTTTAGTGTGATTATTTATTAATGGTTTTAATTGAAGGAGCTTGACTTTTGGTTTTAATGTTTATATGTTCTTTCCAGTTAAGTTTGGTGTCTAAATGCAGTCCTGTTTCACTGTTTTGTTTTGTGGAGTTCAAGGAAAGGTGTTATTGTTCAGTGTAAGGGATGGTGGTGCTGAAATCTTTTTTAATGAAAATATTTTTGCTGTTGAATTAGCTGGGTTTAATTTAATTTTCCATTTGTTTGACCAAGAATCTATTTGGTTTAAATGTTATTGTATTGTGTTTTTTAATGTAATAAGTGATGTGCTAGAACAACACAATAATACTGTATCATCTGCGAATTGTGCTGTATTGATTGTGTTGTATGTAGGGATATCAACTGTGTAAAGATTGAATAATATAGGTGAAAGTGGGGGACACTTAGGAAGTCCAGCCAATATTGGTCTGGGGTTTGAGAGATGTTTATCTATTGAAGCTGAAAAATTTCTATTGTTTATAAATATATTTATGATGTTGGTTTGATGTTTGGGTGAGCCAATGATTCTAAGTTTGTACATGAGACCTTGATGCCATACTCTGTCATACGCTTGTGAAATGTCTAGAAAGGTTGGTATAGTATGTAATATTTTTTAATGCTGTATGGATATGTTCTGTGATCCTTAATAATTGGTATGAGGTTGATATCTTTTCTGTGAATCCAAATTGATGCCTGGGAATGATGTCATTTTTGTTGAAGTAATTATTGAATCATTTGTGAATTGAATTTTAGATAAAGATGGTAAAAGGTTTATTGGTCTATAATTTTCTATATTGGGTGGATTTTTGTTTAGTTTTGGTATGGGTATCACTATAGAGTGTTTCCATAAATGTGGAAAATAACCTGTTCTCAATATAGAGTTATAAATGTTATTTAAGAATGATATGGCTTGGTTTGGCAAATTCTTTAGAATTTTGTTCTTTATTCTGTCATATTATGGAACCTTTTTTAGGAAGTGTTTTTGTTATATTTGTTATCTCCTAGAGGGATGTGAATCTGATTCTGGAAGGTACATTATAATTAGGAGATGTTGCTATCTGAGTGATTGTTTGGTGTTGTGTGTGGGGGTGAGTCGTGGGGTAAATGTATTTGCAAAATGTTTTGCTAGTTTCCTCTTCTGTGATTGATGTGTGTAGGTTTTTTATACAACTGAGAAATTATTTTCGGAGCCCTTGTAACAATGAAATTGTCTTCCAGTCTTAATTAAATATTTGGTTATGACTCTGAAGTCACTGATTTTTTGTGGTTGTATTTTACCATATTATATATAAATTGAAGTGTAAAGCTGTTTGTTACTTTGGTATTAATCTTCTTGCTAAAGTTCGTATTGTTAGTTATATTTGCAACATAAATTGACGGATTTTTTTACTGATTTTGGCACACTTGGTGAGGTTTCATTGATGTAACTAAACCTATTTTGATTGCAGGAATTTGGTTCCCTGTTCAGTACCTCAAACCTATTTCCAATTAGGACCGAATATCAATATTGGGTTGAATTGTCTATGTTGTCTTGTTTTTATTGCAGGTTAGAACTTTTTGTCTCGTTAGCCGAGTTGTTATCATCAGAAGGACGCTTTAAATTTTGTTCTGCGGCATGTTGGCCTGTAGCGTTACCTTGTAGGGTGTCCAAGTTTTGCAGTCACATCGAGGTCTGTTGATTGGGTTGAGGTTCCATAGTTGTTTGGCTTGGTTGAGTTTTCATTGATGTAACTTCGTCACTGGCAGTTTCCGTTACTCCTTGGTACAGCATCGATACGTTTACATCTGGGATGGGATAACCACTGTTTAGTGTTGTTAGAGCATTATTGATGAGCTGCCCCGTTGACGGGCAGTACCCACTGAACGATCGAACATAATGCGTAGCACACACTAGTGGCACTGTTTTCACAGAACACAAGATATACGCTGGTTCACATATTTTCCTCAGTCACACGGTTATCACTGTTCACAACAATACGAGCAATCCGTTCGGTTCGGCAGTCAGCGCGGAATGTAATATTGTAAAGAAAAACAGAGTATTTTTATTTGAAACCTATTTTGACATTATTATTATTTTCTATATCTACGACTTTCGCTTGTATGACTTGCATTAATGTGTGATTCAGGTATTCAGAATGATTTCTAGTGGTTGACAGATGTAGTTGACTGATGAATAATGTGAAATAATTATACTATATGAACCATTGTGTACAGAGTAGAAAATGTTAAGACACGGACTTCAAATACTTTCTTACATACACCAAGTTGTGATTTTTTACCTTTGAGATGAATTAACATCACTAAAAATACAAATCATGTTTTGCACTCTCGCTAAACATTTTTATTTAAATTCTTAAATATTGATAATTTCTTTACGAGTCTTGAATAAAATATTATTTCCTAATTATAAGTCAGTAGCGCAACCGGGACTTTTCCATGCGAGAGAGGGACGATGAAATGTCTAGGCGACTTTTTTCTTTTATAAAAAAGTTTTAATTTCTGATCAAGTATAAATTTATTTTTATTTCTTAATTTATAGCTAATGATGACCGAGCGAAATGGCGCAGGACGTACTCTCATGACTTCGCATTCGGGAGGCTCGGGTTATATTCCCATGCAAGCCATCCAGACCCGGTTTCTCGTGGTTTCCTCAATCATCCAGGCGAATGCTGGGATAGTTCTACTGAAAGGTCACGTCCGCTAAACAGGAGTTCGCTAGCCGAATTCGTAAACTTCATGTGAAGTCACGAAGGCTAAGTTGATTTCGAAACTTAAAGGGCTCCTACTTGGGTGACCGACTAGGAACCCTGTAATCTGACAGTACCGAGGCCAATTGCTCTTTATAAATGCCAAGTTAATTCTTACATCATATGTATGCATTATATGTATACAAGTAACACATTGAAATACTATTGTGGAAATATTAAATTTTTAAAAACCGTATTTGTAAACATGTGTCTTAGATTTTGATAGGTCGAAACCCCACGAGCACCCCGCCCTTGTGTAAGCCACTGCTACTTCTATCATCGGAGTTTATAAATAACATTGGTCTTAATTTTGCTCCAATTAGTACCCAAGAAGTAAAAGTCAATTGAAATTATAGCATGAGAATCTAATACCCGCTGATGCCAGGATGTCCTCCAAACAGAACATAAAAATTAGTGACCATGCAGTAATTATTATTAAAGGAAGTCTATGACTTTGAAACCTTTACAGCCGTGACATAACGATTTAAAACCATTATGGGACATATTTTCCTTGATGAATTCGTCAAAACGTCCATAAATTATTTTTTTGAGTTGTACTGTAATCGGATCAGGAGCATTTGCAGTAAAAACGAACTGACGCAGTATATTTGCTTCTTGCGCGTGTCTGCTCAATCCACACGCGGCAAGGTCAAATCCTCACGCGTCGCAGTCTCCTTATCAGAAAAAGATCGCGCTCCTCAACACACAAGTTTCCATTTCCATTGTTAGAATTTTTCGTGCATCAGAGTCGAGCGATCAACAGAATGTAATAGATGACAGCAAATAACGCTCAATACAACGAAAATGAAATCCATTTTTGATAATTTCTCATATCTGAATCCACATATATGTTCGTACTGGGAATGGTAAATAAAATGAAAACTTGAAGATAATGAATAGTAAAGAAACAACGATGTAATGAGAAGCAGAGAAACAGGTGAATCTCAAGCACTCATTTTGGCTACGCAAATTTCATATGGAATCATCGGAAATTGATTCCACAGCCGGCGCACACAGCTAGCAAGGTTGAGAGCTAGGCGATGAGCCACCGAAATAAATTTCAAGATCTGAGGATAAGAAAGAGTATAACGTATTCCAGTTCTTTCAACAAAAAATATGCCTCTCCAATATAGACATGCACCTGTAATTCGACATTTTTCTTGGAAATAAAATGACTCGAATGAAATATCTTTAAGATATCTTGAAACTTAGATACATATGGAAAATAGGAAAAAATATTCCATTCATTTCTGTGCGTTTTCCAAGAAATCCGTCTTTCCACAACGAAAAGTTTATGAACTTTGAATGAAAAGATTGTTACTTGCTAAGATCGTGGTTCCGTATTTCGTAAACTATATTTGTAATATTCTTCTTATAATCAGATCTTCTTATGATCGTAAGAATATTCCTTTTACAATAATGAGATTTTTATAAGCTCCTTTCGTTTTGAGAATAATGGACAAAGTCGTAAATATTTTAAATGTCAATTTTTTAATACACAACAAACAGTCAAATTTCACTTGCACTACGATGCATACGATGAATGAGACACGTTAATCAACTTTTTCCACATCATTAAAAATTTCGTTTTTACAATATCCGTACAAAAATTATTTAGGAACGTTTAATCAGCAGAATGTTATAACATACATCATAATGATCATTACAACTTAACGTTTTTTTAAATTCTAACAGAAAAAAAAGAAAAAAATTCAACCCGCTTATTCGACATAACTATTCTTGTCCGTGAAAGCAAGCTCTCTATTTGAATCAGACGATTTGATACGCCTTATTAGGCTTAAGCTTATCCACAACCACCCGATGACAAAATTGAACAGCAACATAAGTAAATCATCTGATGGTTTATGATTCCTACATTAGTTTTGTTCATTTATTTCACAAAATCTATTTAATTAGGTGAATCTGAATATTCTGGACTTTTACTGAGAGTTTAGTGAAGTACACAATTATAGAAATATTAGCGTCAATACATAATATTGTACTTTTACCTATTTATTCATTGGGTAATCATTTTCCCAATTAACTTGAAGCTAATACCATATACCAAACATAATTTAAAACAAAACACAAACAACAACAAATTATTTAAACCAACCAATTAATTGTATATATATATATATATATATATATATATATATATATATATATATATAATTAATTGGTGTGTGAGAGAGAGAGAGAGAGAGAGAGAGAGAGAGAGAGAGAGAGAGAGAGAGAGAGAGAGAGTGTGAATGAGTGCGAGTCATTCCACGTCAAATCGCACACTCGCGAAATATCACTATTTTTTAGCGAATTGAAACTTTATTTTGGGTTCCATAGGTGACAGTTTTGTTTTGTAATCGCACCCCTTCCAGAAATATTACCGTTTACTTTTCCTCAGAATCAATCGCATGCGTTTAAACTGTTTTTGGGCAAATTGTTTGCCATAAAAAGTTATATTATTGGAAAAACTAGTTTTGAAAATTCCTTCTCGTGACGAGTCAAGTGAAGTTGATTTAAGAAAGTGAGAATCGTCCATACGTATTAATGTCGCAAGTATGTTGGGCAGTGACAATGATGAATAACGTGCACTGCTGTTCTTGGTCGCCCTAACGTATCACCAGATACGAGTAATACCGAAACTGACCGAGTAAGTTCATCTTGTGTTTCTTGTCTTCACTCAGCGCTTACTGTCTTCTCCTCGCTTCATGAAACAAAACAAAAATGTCGCTGGGAATATTCATTGTCTAGTGTGATTTTATAAGAAAATTATTCTTTCTTATTTGAAGCTGTAGTTTAGTGACTGCTGTGAATTAATGTCTTGGCTACTGTGCATCCTTTTGTGCTATACTACAGACATTGTATCAACCGCGCCAAGATCTAAGCTCCGGACGACGCGTCGTTGGTGGGAGAGATTCCCTCTAGGTACTTCCCTCCGCGAGGTGCAGCCCTTGTCGGGACAAGTTATAAGCTGCCGACTGGTCTCCCGTCATGTGTGATAGTGTGGTGTAAGTAAGTGTAGTGTGTGTGTATTAGGAGAGTGGATGGGGCAAGGATGAGGAAGGAAAGATCGCGCGCGATCCTTCGCCCTTTGAAAGGGCACTTCTTCGATATTCGCCAGTGTTGGTTTGCGAAAGCACAGAAATCTACCGAATAGAGCATCCGGCCGTTAGAATTCTTATGACAACACCTGGATTCGTCCTAGTTATATAGTTAGGTGTCGTAGGCGTCCGCGGCCAGTCATAGTCTGGGCTGTCCGGGTGACGACGCGTCAAAGGCTGATGTTTCGACCACCATATCGCGGTCCCCTTCAGAGCTGTACTGCTCTGAAGAGGACCGCGATATGTTGGTAGAAACGTCGGCACCTCAGCCTTCAACGCGGCGTCACCCGGACAGTCCAGATCATTATATAGTTAAGTGTCGGAAATTCCGCCACCGTTGGTATCCCAGGACTACCCGGTTACAGTCTCTGCAGAGTTAAGTCAGATTGTCCATCTCCTTAGCCATGATCAAAAATCCGCCACCGAATCAACATTAGGACTTCCTAGTTATCGAAACTTTTCGCTGGTGCACTGACTCTAACGGCAACCCGAACTGTAAATAAATATCGAGGGAATCGTACAAGATCTACGAGTAAATACACACAAGACGGCGCGCTGGTAGCTTTTCTACAAATCCCTGTATTCACGCCTCCCTTGAGGTCGGCGCCCACTGAGGGAGATAAGAAGTGACGGAAGACAGTGCCAACAGGAGTGCATTCACGGGTAGATACGAAGCAGCCACGCTCGACGTTCTTCGCCTGTCACCATGCAGAACGCAAGCACGGAATCAGTTCTCTCTAAAGTAAGTGTTGGCGTCGGTGACTTCCAAGTGCGAATATCGATAGATAACTTTAATGTCCAAATGTATTAATTACAACTACAATAAAACTTCAGCTAAATAACAGAAATAGAAATATTCAGTTTTTTAACATTTCTAAAAATATTTAAATGAACAGCTCATATTGCAGTTTTACTTATTGTTATGAATTATGGAGGTGAAAATAACACGAAGTCTACTTTGGTTATTTTGTTGATGTTACACTTACAAACTTCTATTTAATCCATGTACACGCAATTTTTTTATCTCCACTGTCTTACGGTTAAAAAAATTAACACATCCTCGAAATTCGTTCTCAGCACCGATCAATTTGAAGTAGGCATTTGGAAGAATTTACAATTTTGCTTCAATTAATAGATTCGGTAATTAATTATTATGAGGGGCTCGACAGATGAAAGTTGAAGGAGAATGGCAGAAGGAAGACAAGTGCCTTTACTGAATTATATGGGAAGTGAGCTTTGTGCATAAAAGCTCGCTAAAAGTCCAATTTCACTAGTACTAAAAGGAAGTCGATGCTCAAGTGTTTTGATAAATTTGTGAATGCAACAAAGAAAACAAAATGCCTTCGACTATGCTACTACTGAACATGTAAGCTTACTACTGATCTTAATGTGTGGTTAAGTGACTTGTATTCGTGAATAGAAATTAAACCCAGTAAGGCTGTCTAGAAAATAGTAAATGGCATATGTGAAAAAAGTAATTTTAATTTGCTCGTGCCACTCCGCAGGTCAGCCTTTTCCTACTCACAAAATAAATTTTCTCTTTTACCACGTGTATTGCCTATTTTTATTATTTGTTTTTCCTTTAGCTTGTTTTCTCTGGAATCATTCACAATGTCTGCCTAGCAGTTTGTTCATATTCTGTAAAGGTTTCTGTTATTTATACACAGGTTATTCGTATATCGTAAGTTATTTTTATATCTTACATCTAAGGTTATTCTTCTTTATATTTTCTCTGGATGAAAAATCTGTTGAGATAATATTTCTACACTTAGAAGTACTACAGGAAAAAGGAATAATATCTTGGAAAATGCAACATTTATGATTGATTTACAGCTAATTAACAATTAAGTAGAAAATATAGAGAATACATATCAAAATCAAAAGCTAGAGAATACGTGAGATCATAAGCATGAATAAATAGTTTAAGTATGTTGATAAATGAATGCTTTTAGAAACAATCATTTTATAAACGTTTGATATTTCATACGAAAACGCTTTTACTATAAAAACATGTGAACATTTTGTTTTAAAGATGAATTACGAATAAATGCCAGCAAACGAAGATAATTTATAAGTCGTAAAATGAACAATTTGCGCATCACGATGTATAGATAACAGAGAGTAGGGCTAAAAATACATAGCTCTCTGGACTTTAGTCACTGGCTTGTTTAGCCACAAAAATATCAAGAGATGTAGTAAAATATTGCAGTGTGCAGCTTTTATTGGTCATATATGCCGACGTTGTTCTACAACTTTCAGATATCTACATTACTTCTATTTTAATTTACTAATTTTCTTTTGCGATATAAGTGGAGTGGAATATCGCTCTTTTGACCTTACTGCTCATGTTTAAGTTTCGGGTTTGTGGGCTGTAAAACCTACAAGCACAATGACTCATTTTTACGTAGTAATTTCTTAAATAGACAGGAAATTGAAATAAAAGTACCTTTTCAGAACACAATTTTGTTTTCTTCAAGCTGTTTAAATGACAGTTTTGATTGCACTACTATTGTATTTTATTGGCACTTTTTATCTCACGAAACCTGGAAGTAACGAAAAACCAGAGTACGTACTGTTGTCATTCACATCATAGTGATGCAATTCGTACATACAGCGTTCTAAAAATTATTACTTATTGCGGAAGTTTAATGAATGAAATGCATGCATATCTCTTTGGATCAAGATAGACAAACGTGAAATATATTTTCCCGTGTGTTGATAGACCATCGAATTCAATTGTTCAATGTCAGAAACGAGGTGTTATTTCTTTTAATTTTCGACATACGAGATGTCAAATTTCCCACTTACAACCAAACTCGCGGTCTTAGAAGACGAGGGGAAATGGATGGCAACATTTTCTGGATTGATTGATTTGTGATTTCTGGCACTGCAAGTGCTATAGGTGCTCAGGATGTAAGTGTAGTGCATGTTTTTTTCATCGGGAGGTGGTGATGATCTTGCCCGCTGGATGGTGGGATCTGGCGCTGAACTACCAGTCGGCTAGAGGGATTTTCCCCAACCAGGTGTCTCCCACCAGCAGGGCACTGCTCCGGTCGGGACAAGCTCTAAGCTCCCGATCGGTTTCCGGCATGTATGGGAGTGTAGAGCATGTAAGTGTGTGTGTAAGGGGGGAGAACAGAACAAGGAAGGGGAAGAAGGAAAGATTGCGCCTTGTCGGTAGCCCGTTTATTAGCGTAGTGCTCTGACATTCGTCTGACGTTGATCAGAGAAGCCACGTGAAACTGCCGATCAGAGCACCGGCCACTAGAATACTCCTCCAGACAGCGACGGGATTCGATCTATCTAGCTAGTGTCGAAACCTCTGCCACGGTCGGAACTCGAACCTACAGACTCGCGGTCAGAAGCAGTGACATCAGTTGATGCTCTGAGCCACATCTCACGGCCATATCGAGGTGAGCATGGATGCTCAATTGAGTAATTCTACTAAGTAAGCCTATTCCTGTATGCTGGTTTGTAAGTTGAGACAACCCTTATCAATAAGTAGCTCTGAAACTGCTTGCAATGATGTTCCAAGAAACATTATCTCTCCTTGAGATTATTTGATTACACATGTTAATGGCCAAGATAATTAAAATTTGAAAATTGATGATAATAATAACTAGCGAATAATTATTTGGGGAGTCTAATGCTGAATCGGGTAGTTTTAGACACTTAAATATAGCATCTGTAATATAGAGAAGTCACGGATTGTGATTATTTCCAGCATTTACAGTATCAGTACAGCCAATCAGTAAAATAAGTATCAGTATCAATACAGCCAATCAGTAAAATAAGTATCAGTATCAATACAGCCAATCAGTAAAATAAGTGTTTGCCTAAAATATGTGTTTGCACCTACAGTACGATTTAATTCAAACCACTCTTAACACTTCCGTTTCTAATAATAGAAAATTGTGGAAATTTCAGGGAAGTCGGTTGAGTAGTTTTTCTGTCCATGTGCAACAGACATACGCCCATTTTCTTTTATTATATATACATATATACATATATACATATATACATATATACATATATACATATATACATATATA